TTTTAAATATCTTTTCTTAGATTAGGAAAGTGTTAGAGAATTTCAAACGGGTCAAAATCGCGTGTATTTTCAGGAAAGGAAATTAATATGTAGATTGATTAGCAAATCGGATATTTTGATCATCATTTACTCTCTTTGTTGATAAGAGATCAGATAGAATTAAGTTTTATTAGAGAGTAGCATTTCTTATCAAGAAAAAAGTAAATTCATCCCATTAAGTCCGAGAAATGCTTAAATTATGGTAGGAAAATCTCGAAGAATCCAATTGTATACTGCAAGAGTACTTATAGTCTTACCTAATAAAGCAAATGTGCATTTATGGAGACCCACGAAATAAAGGTAACAAAGAAAAAATATCTTTGAGAATATTAGCAGAATACGCATATTTAGCAACCCGATCACTATTATTTTTTTTTGAATCTTGCCTTTACTCAAACTCCAAAAATATTGAACTTTAGACATCTATATAAACCCACTTTGGTGGGACACATAAACACGTATCTTTCACAATCATATACCCTAGACGTTCAATCAAGCCAAATATACTTGGAAATGGAGAAGGGTCAAACCAAGCTCAGCGCAATGATCTTTCTATTGGTGATTGCATTCGGTAGGTTTCTTCTCATTTTTCTCAATTACTATTATCATTTCTAAATGTAGAACTGCGCTGATGAGTTCTTCCACATTTTCCTTCCTTTAAAGGTCTTGTCGTCTCGCACGCTCAAACAAGAGATGGACCAAGAGGGAGCTATGATCTCTCGGATAATGATGTTCCGAAAGGACCAGGAGAAACTTGTATTGGACATTGTCCTGTTCCACAACGTCCCGCCTTGGTAAATGGCAAATGTGTGTGTGTTCCGCCTCAAGGAGAAGAACTTGTATGAGGAGTAGAGGAAGCAAAAATGAAAAGGGAATTTTGCTCTTAATAGAATAATAGAATGGGTTCATCCTATTGAGTATTTGACTTTTTGGACGGTCTTGAAATTTTCTGATGGTCGAAATTGATCTTATTATTTTATAACTAGGTAATCAAACGTGATGGTCATATTCCTTATACATATGTCGGACGATCTACCCCGATATCGTCTCGTCTTCGAATATGACGGCAAAGAAATTCAAGACCTAGTTCGAATATTCTAACTAGGTATCCTTTGGGTTGACAAGAAAAATGAAGTGCTGAATTGGAGGATATAAAGGAAAATTTGAAGATATCAAAGATCGATTTTGTTGTGTTCGTATTTGACCATCCTTTCAAATCACTTGTCAATTAAGTTTAGGAAGAATTTTATATAAGGGCATGAAGTGAAACTATTTTCTCAAACTAGGATTCAAAGGAGATATTATCTCATATGGGAGACTGAAGTGATCAATTTAGTCTCAAATAAATATCCGAGTTCAATAGCCGCTGTGAATTCATTGTCGATGCTTGACCGAACACCGGAAGTGATATCGACAGAGAGAAGCATAGCTTCCATGATGGAGATTATCCCCAAAAGGACGCCACTTTCTCTATTGGTGTTATCCGCAAAATTCTTTAAAAAGGGTTGGGCTTGGGTCGGCTTGGTCTTGGAAGTTTAAATACAATTCAGAACTCAAGTTCAATTCACTCAACGAGCGAGGCCAATTTTAATGTGATCCGCGATCGACTCCAGTTATTTATGTGGACGTATTTATTATGAAAATTTTCCTCATATCTATGATGAAAATTAATAATATTTTTGTTTAGGGCTTAGGTATAAGCAACATAGGCACATACAACTGTAACTTGTCATCAATTGACTAGTGGAATCCAGCAACTTGGTTGTCAGCATAGGAAGGTGGACATAAAGCCAAACCACTATAAACTCTACTGCGTTTGGTCGACCGGATAAAAGCTAGGATATGATATGTTTTATCCTATCCTATGTTTGGTGGTGGTCCAGGATAGGATAAGGTCGGATATAGATCGGATATAGCCCGGATAAAAAAATCCGAGGGGGGTGGGATAGACCAGGATAGGATTTCTAATGCCTATTTTTCCAGAAACCCTACGCTCCACTCGCCGTCATCTTCATCACCACACCTTGTGCGCTTTCACAAAAAAAAAATTCTCGGCTTTTTTTCCTTCACTGACTCCTCCGGACCCGTGAATAGCAAAAAAAAAAAATTATCCTATCCAACTTTAAATCCGTAATCCACCAAACAGTGGACAGGATATGAAGAAATCGCAGGATTTCTTATTCTATCCTATCCAGTCCTATCCTGTTTAGAAATCTGGACGACCAAACGCAGCCTATGTACATTGTATTCTATCTCTTCGTTCTTTCTCAATCTCTACTTAATAAAAACACTACACAGCACTACTTGAATGTTACCATAACTTGTTTATATTCATATTTCGTTTTACTTGGTTACTCTGTTTTAAAACTTGGCACTATTAATTCCACACTACTTTGCCAAGATTTTTTGAAATTACCTATTCACCCCCTCTGAGTGATATTATTAGCCAACATCACAACTACCATCTGAACAATTGAATTTAAATAATTTGGATAACCGTGGAAATTAAATTGAATTGGTACTTGAAATCACATCAACAAGCACCAAGGTGTGATGCAATCAATGGTTGTTGTTGTTGTTTAAGAAAAGGCCAACCTGGAGTCAAAAATGTATCGCGAGAAATTTTCTTTTAGTTGACCAATTTTTTTAGGTTACACTTTGGCCCTTTTAAGGAAAATTTTGTGGCTTCGTTTTTCTACATTTTTTATATATAAAATTTGCTGCCTCGGAAAGCTTAAATTCTTCGAGTGTCATGATGTGTATTGCATGCCACTTTGAGAGAAAATTAGACAATGATCCACAATGGATTATTAATTTTTGGACATCCCGTCATAAAATATTCAAATTTTAGGATTCGTTTGTTTCACTGAAAACGTAACGTTTTTTGAAAATATTTTCCAAGAAATCATTTCCAGGAAAACGGTTTAATTATTTTTCTCATGACTTTATTTGGGTAATATATGATCGAAAATGTTTTCTGGTGTTTGGATATTATTTGGAAAATAATTTTAATCTCATGACTTTATTTCGGACAAAAAAAATCGAATTTTTTATTTAAAAAAATTCGAATTTTATATTATTATTTTGTATTTTTTTAAAAAAATTGAATTTTTAATTATTTTTAATTTTCTTTTCTTTTTTAAAAAATTGGAATTTTTAATTATTTTTCTTTTTTCTCTTTTCTTTCCTTTTTTCTTTCATCTTCCTCCGCCGTGACCAACCATTGACGAGCTCGAGGCTTGCCTGGCGATGGCCACAGGCGAGCTCGAGCTCGCCGGCCTTGCCCGAGCTCGGGTTCCCCTTGATTTGGCGAGCCACGAGCTCGTCGGCCTTCGCCGAGCCCGAGTTCAACTCTCGTGGATTTGGTGAGCTGCGAGCTCGCCTGGATATGGCGAGCCACGAGCTCGCCGGAGGACGGTGAGCCCGAGCTCACCGACCTCGACGAAGCTCGCAGCTCGTCGGCCTCGGTCGAGCTCGGGATCACTTGGATCGGCCAAGCCTGCGAGGACAGCCCACTCCTATGGCCAATCACCGGCTGTCGTTGAGGCCGGTGACGGGTGGAGAGAGGAAGAAGGAGAAAGAAAAAAAAGAAAAAGAAAAGAAAGAAAAGAAAAGGAAAAAAGAAAAGAAAAAGAAAAATATTAACAAATTTAAGATAATAAATCTAGAAAGTGTTTTCACCTTTTAAATTAGGGAATTCACTTTCCTAAATTTACACATGAATGTTTTTCTTGATCGAAAAATGTTTTCAGTTGACCAAATTATTTTCGGACAACCAAATGAATGAAAGTCTAGAAAATACTTTCCTAAAAAACACTTTCACCAAAACTATCACGACCCAAACCCCAACGAACGCGCGACACCCCTAAGTCGGTCGAATTGAATGCGACGTCCCAGGCTCGTCGCCGACCCAACCCCAAATCATTAGAGATCAAACATAAGCAGAAACAAGTATAATACCCGGACAAGAATTAGAAGAGGGGTAACAAGGAGAACAACCACATAACCAAACAAACAACTTTCAATAATGCAAGACATACATACAATATTCATTCTTACAAAATAAACCAGGCTTACAAGGTTAGCAACCACTATCATCAAAAAGGGGCAAGTGGTTTAGGTAGGTTAACTTCTATACCAAAAAGGGAGCATTCTCAAAAAAATGATTCTAATAACTTGCCCTTACTAACCCCAACGAGACCTAGAAGGTGTCCACACGGGGTTAGTCTCCCTAGAATCGATGTCAGGCTCCTCTGGATCCACCCATTCATCAACTGATCTGGAGTCAACCTCAATCTCAATCGGGTTATCTTCGGATCCCGACTCTGATGGGACCTTAATCGGGGGTTCTTCCTCGGGTTCTTCTTCTTCAGGCTTCTCTTCAAACTCTTCTTTAGGCTCCTCGTACTCTCCTTCGAGGTCTTCAAACACTACAAAAAAATATGGATTTTGCCACGAAAATTTGTGACGGAGAATTTTTCGTTGCTAATTTGCGACGAAATTTGCGACGGATTTTTTTTCCGTCACAAATTAGCGATGAATAATTTTCGTCGCTAATTTGCGACGAAATTTGCCACGAAATAAAAATTCGTCGCAAATTTGCGACGGGAAAAAAACTCCATCGCAAATTTGCGACGGAAAAAAAATCCGTCGCAAAATTTGCGACGGACAAAAAATCCATCGCAAAATTTGTGACGGACAAAAAATCGTCGCAAATTTTGCGACGAAAAAAAAATTCGTCACAAATTTGCGACGGAAAAAAAATTCGTCGCAAATTTGCGCAAAAAAAAAATCGCAAATTTGCGACGGAAAAAAAAAATCCGTCGCAAATTTGGGATGGAAAGAAAAAATCAGTCGCAAATTTGCGCAAAAAAAAATTGCAAATTTGTGACAAAAAAAATCCGTCTCAATTTGCTACGGAAAAAAAAAATCGGTCGCAAGCTCCCCGCCAATCTCTCAAATCTGCCCGCCCTCACCGCAGTTTTCTCTCTCTCTCTCTGCTATTCCTCAGAAACCCCCCCGCTTCGCCAAACACCTCTCCGTCGCTCCCTCCTCCCCTCCGCCAGCCATGATGGCCACCCTCACCGCCGCCGCCGTTGCCTCCTCCTCCGTCGCCATACGCCCGTTCTGCGCCCACCAGCCCTCCCTCGCCTCGCCCCAGATCTGGGCGAGGTCGAGCGGCCTCGCCCATGGCCGCCGCTCGACCTCGCCCATGGCTGCTCGACCTCGCCGTCGCCCAGATCTGGGCGAGGGCGAGGGCGAGGGCGAGGGCGAGCGGTGGCCATGGACGAGGGTGGGATCCGGTGCTTCGTTGCCGAGGGCCGCCGGCGGGGGACTGGTTGATTGCGTGGTGGTCGGGGGCAGGATCGGCGGGCTCTGCATCGCCGCGCGGAGCCCGTTCTTCGGGACCGCGTTCGCGGAGAGCGAGAGCGGGGCGAGGCTCGAATCGGCGTGAGTTCTTTCTTGGGTGTTCTTCCTTTTTTTTTTCTGGGGAAAAGGAAGAAAATGGAGAGGAGCACGCCAGTGAGGAAGCCTCACACTTCGACTTCAGATCTGCTCACGTGGTCGGAGACTCCGCCTCCCCACGATTCGGTCGCGCCCGGTTCGGCTTCCTCTCGCTCCAATGCTCACTCTCACCAGGTGCGGCGTTCGCTATCACCTTCTGCCTTTTTTTTTATCTTCCTGGGCTTTCCTTTTTTAACGGGTTGTTCTGGGGGATGATGTTGTTAGCCTTCGGATGGGATCAGCAAGGTGGTGTTTGGAGGTCCAAGTGACTGCAGAGAAATCTGAGAATTTGAACAAATGGTTAGATCTGCTCTTCTTGGTTTTTTTCCCGTCTCCCTATTTGTTGATGACGTTTTGTGTTTTTTCCCCTTAAATGCAATGTTTCATTTGGCGGAATGGGTCGCCACCGTTTTACCTATTTGTCCGCATTCTCTCCATGTTCTCCAATGCTTTGGATTTTCTTTCTTTAGAAATTATGGTTGGATTGTGTAATATAGGTTCAATGTGGATGTGTAGTGATCGATCTGCGGGGAATGAGGGCAGAAACTTTGAATCCAACATGATAATCTTTACCACCTTCATTTAAATTACAAAAGAAGGGAAGTCTTTTTGGGGGTGGCTGTTGATGGAGTAATCTTGGTCAATTGGGTGGATCTTAGAACTTCAGATGCCTTGGTAGGTCGACCTTGCTCATCTTCCTTGGCCTTAGAAGTCTGGTTGGCCTCTTGAGCTTGATTCTATTGCAAGCCCTCATGTCTAATTGAGATGGTCCAGTCATTCCCCTTCCATTCAATGGCTCTTCAATTAATAGTAATTAGATGGACAGCGTAAGTTCCTTAGATGTCCAGATTCGAGAAGTAAACATTTCTTTGGCGACTATCATATGGGGCTCCTTCAATGTCTGCTGAACTTCTGCGGTCATGAAAATGCCGATTTGATCATCCCATTGACAATCTACCGAACTCTGATGTAGATACAATTGTAATAGGTGCTTAGCTGATGTGAACTTATTTTTGATGTCTTTTCAATTTGCGTATGTGAAATATGTTATTGACATGTGAAAGCTCTAGTCCATGTAAGAGTAGGTTGTTCTTAGTCCATTCATGGAAAGGAGATGGCATTTTGCTGAGGATTGGTAAGTCACAAATAGTGCATCATCAACATCCTTCTAAAAAGTGCTGCAATAGAAACAATTGTTTGTTGCTAGATTAGGAAAAGGTTCAATCCATGGATAACATGTACATACAGAAAAGTCATTACATATACAATTACAAATACATGCACTCACAAACATGTCCATCTAAAAAGGCAGTTACTTGGCTATCTATCTTTTTTCGTACACATATAGAATGGGGATGAATATTTGGCAGAAATGCACATGCACCCACACAAAGGCGCACAAGCATGCATGTTTGGTTGTGGGCACGCTCTCATACACACGTGACCTTTTTATATCCTCCTTGTCAAGAGAGTTACATAAGCTTTCATAATGCCTTTGCACTTGGACTCCGCTTATTGTGGCTTTTTCCTTGTCTTCTTCTTCATAGAATAGTGCTTTTGTAATCTTCTAGGAAGTCTTGTTCTGCCTACAAGTTGAAAGAAATCACCGGAAGCACCACGACAGGGCCCCCGACGTGGTCGTCACCGAGGCCAGGGACCGCGTCAAAGAGTTTTATATGTTTGAGATTATTGGTATAGACGGAGGAGCATCAAAGAGTTGCAGAAGATGCTTCACAGATGCAACGAGCAGCTCCGACAGTTTAGTCATGTAAACAAGAAAGCACTTGATTAGTACGTGAACTTCACAGAGCAAAGAAAGTGAGCTTCTCACATGGACCGTGTCTTTAGTTTTGTTCAGTATTTATATGATGGAGATTGTCGCTAAAAGCCGGATATTCTTTTTTGATTCATTTCTGTCGTCATTGTTTATTGTGCAAGATTAGTTATTATGCAAGATTATTTATTCTCTCATTATGTGTACTATAAAGAAAAATATTTATGTCATTCTTGTGGAAAATGTAGATGAATGTATTTCATTTTCATATTATTATAATATTTTGATGTTATTAAGTGCTTAATCAATGTTAAATATAAATTTCAGAAATTAATTTTGCTTTTAATTAAGTTTAAAATCGAAAAATAAAATAAATGATTTTATCGTACGATCACAAATTATAAAAGTTCGTTACAAAAATAAAATTTCGTCGCTAATTTCGTCCCTAAACGATATTCGTCGCAGAGTTTGTCGCTAAAGAATTAATAAAAAATCATTGCTAAATTTGTTCATGAATAATGTTCATGGCAAAAATCAAAATTTTTCGTGACAAATTTGCGACGAATTTTGCCACGAGTAAGTTCGTCGCAAATTACAAAAAAAAAAAAATTCGCGCCAAATTAGCGACAAATTTTGCGACGGAAAAATAAATCCGTCGCAATTTTTGTGACGAAAAATTTTTGCGACGAAATTTGCAACGAATTTTGCGACGAATTTTGCGACAAATTTTGCGACGAACTTTGTTACGAATTTTTTTTCCGTCGCAAAAATTTGCGACGACCTAGTAGCGATAGAATTTTTTCCGTCGCTAAATTCGTCGCAAAATCGATTTGCGACGGATTTTTGCAATTTTTTCGTCGCAAAATTCGTCGCAAAAAACATGTTTTTTTGTAGTGAAACTCTTCAGTCAGCCCATGCTTAACCTCCGGCTCCATAGGGACTGCCCCCTGGTGTGACTCCTCGGGCTCTAGGTTGGGCTTGACCTCCATAGGCTCGGGGTCCATGGGTGCAGGTGCAGGTGCAGGGCCTGACTTCACAGGGCCCGTCTCAGCACTAGTCAGTTCACCATCAGGAGGAGGAACGGCCGATGGATCCCAATCACTGACTCCATCATGCGGGACATCAAAACTCCGAGCGGGTCCAAACTCATCAAAACCATCTCGGAAACACCATGCTGCGAACTTATTGGGTTGCAACTGGGGTTCACCTACATCTACCCAAACCACCGTAATATGCTTAATCCAAGCCTGGTTCTCACCTACCGGGTGCTCGACTACCGAGTGCTCAGAGTGCATCGGTATCCCAAAACGTTGCGGGAGAGTGTTTATGGTCCAGGTCGGGGGTCTGAAATGGTTTGGCTAAACAATTATGAGAATACTTCTCAATAAGCGAACATTCTAAACCCCACTTAGGCTAACACGTACCTTCAAACTAATTCAAGCACTAAAATCATTCAATCAACAAGCTATAACAACCACGACATACTTACCTTGCCTCGGCTCACGCACAAACTCTGCACGTTAGTCCAATCATAACAATATGTCAATCATCACAAGCATACAATCAATCCTAAGACACAGTCAATACATGCTCATGCACTTATGATAATCCAGACTTTTTCAATCTCAAGCTCAACACCTCGCATTTATCAATGCACTCAAGCACGCGTGTCCAGATTATTCACTGCCCGCGTAAACATGCCTCAAGTCCAACTTTCATTCCACGGCTCGTGTCAAAACGCCTCAAGCTCAACAACACTTCTACAGCCCGCGTAACACGCCTTAGCCTTTATGTCTCTTGCCCGCGTAAAACGCCTCAAGCTCAACATCTCCTCCTACGGCATAACCCGCGTAAAACGCATCAGGTTGGTGGTCTTCCGGTATAACCGAGCATCGTCTCGCGTAACACGCCCCAGAATGGGTTTAATTCCACACATAAAACGCCTCAGGAATTAAGTGATCACACGAGCACACTAGCACACCATATTTTATCTTGACCCCACGTAAAACGCCTCAGAGCTTTTTTGTGATCACGCGCACATCACTTCTCATAAATTTTCACACATCCACATGCTCAAACATCATACAAATGTGCTCAATCTCCAACCAAATCAAATTAGTTCATACTCATACAAATAAATTCTGAATTTCAACCATTTATGTCACATTTCACCAAGCATACTAGTCTATCACCAACCAACGATCATAGCCCACAACTCAATGTATTACACTCATTTTTCAAGCAATAAAGTTAGCCACAAAGGTAGCACAAATCAACCACAACACCGGCACAACATTCCAACACGTGCAGTTCACAAATCAAACCGTATACTTGCCACATTCAACCTTATTTTCCAGCATATAAATCCACAATAATCAGCCCCTATTTGGTCTCAAAATAACCACCAAGTCGTACCTAAATTCATCCATAATCCGTCTAACAAGTTAGCACTCAAAACAACCCCTAATCTCCACAAAATCGCACCCAAACTAGTTCATTAATACCCGCCATCCTAAGTAAGGTTTAGAATGTCACTTACTCAAGGTCTCAAGCAAGATCAAGCAAGAAAAAGGGGCAGCAAGCCAGTGGTCGCACGGCGGCCTCGGACGAACGGTGGACGGATGGCGACGGCGGCGGCTTCGGTTGGCCGATCACGGCCGCGTGCATGCACGGCAAGGAGAAGAGGAGGAGCTGGCAGAGAGAGAGAGAGAGAGAGAGATATGGGGGTGGTGGTGGTGACGAGGCCGCGGCGGCGAGGACGACCGGACGGGCGGCGGTTTACGGCGCTGACGTGGCGTGATGGCCGAGCGCGCAAGAGGAGGAGGAGAAGAAGAAGGTCGGCCAAAGGGGGAGAGGAAATGGCGTAAGGGAGAGAGAGTGAGGGAGAAAGAAAAGAGAAGAAAAGGAAAGAAAAGAATAGACTAGGGGGGTAGGTTAGATACGTCATGATGGCTAGAAAGCCCATAATAGCCTAAAAAGCTCATCATTACCTAGAAAGGAGCCACTATAACCTAAAAAGGTTAGGTGGGTCAACTCTTCAAGGAAGGACCATCTTACTCTTTCCACTATCTCACCAAATCTAAAGGCCCACATTCAAACACATATCACATCCATCTCATCCAACGGCTAAGATTGAACCATTCACAAAATATCTAGGGGCAAATAAGGAAATGAGCAAGGAGGATGGGGGCATTTTTGTCCATGAAATTTGTCCATCAAGGGGGCAGCCAAAAGACCAAACTGCCCTTTCACTTTTCTTAATAGCCTTCACACAATCCCAGGGGTAAAATGGTAATTTTCCACTCCCGGTCCAATTTCAATCTTTCCCAACAAATCCAACAAGTTCTAAGATTAATTACGCTAATGAAGACGCCGTCCAATTAATTGTCATGACGTTCGAGGAATTCGAAATCCAGACTTGGATTCTAATTATGGCTAAATCGAATCAACGCGACTTAAACGTATCTCTGACTAATGGGCGGCTCTTGGGCATTACGCGAATTTGACCTGTGGTCGACACTAAGTCGAGCCACGTTTAAGTTCACTCGAACCATAGCGACCTCGGTTGTCATGTAGTTGCGAGGATCAATCACTAGTTTCGAAGGGCACGATCGTTCGGAATAGGTTTAAGGTTGTTCGCAAATTCATCTCATGGTCGAGCGGAATCACCCACGGTCCACTCGTATGACATTGGCGAGTCGATCCGTGACCATCCTTGGATCGGCCTACATTGGCCCAAAATATCACCTCAACAATCCTTATGGTCAAAAGTTAGCCTACAATCGAGTTTCTTTGGTCGCGCGAACTTAAATCCCTAATTAGCCATTCCCTAATGGTTAGTATCCTAGGAGTGATCAGTTCGGGGTAAGATCTAACTACAAGCGCGTTAATCAAATCATTCATTTCATAAATCCTAAGTGGGTCGAATTTCAGAATGTCACAAAAACAAACACACTCTTAAAACCACCATCCTTATGATATTGTAATAATTGTTACAAACGATACTTTCATCCGTATTGAAGGATAAATCCGTGCGACTTGATGAGACGTAACCCCAATTGATATAACCTATCTTTCATCTGACCAAAAAAGGGTGCTTTTAAGATTTTTTGAGAAAAAAACAAAAGAAGTTACTGGTGGTAATTAACTTGGTAGATTTTGCTATTAAATGTACTCGACTTTGCTTATGTACTTTTCTTCTTTTATAACATGAGATATCCAAACTTAACCTTTCAACTTACCTAATTTATGTGCATGCATGTAAATCGCCCCATCCACATGCATCGATTGTGTATAATAATGCTTCCTACCACTAATGAAACTATAGGGTGACTCCCACCAGCTACTTTTAGGTAAAAGCAACTTTGATTTGAATGTGAGTTTATTGAATAAAAACAAAACGATAAACTACTCAGTCAATCTCTTAGAAGTAAAATAAGTTATCATATTACTGAAAGAAAACCAATAATGAGAGACTGTTTTAATCAATTTGATGTGATTCAATAATGTAAAGATACACTAAGTTACATGTCACGATGTGATCTTATGACATATGAAGCTAAGTGAAAACTACTTAATCATTACTTCCTAGAAGCAATTTGAATTAACAAAGAAGATCCATCGTCATAAGAAACAATGGCTAGGTCAAACAAAGATCGCATAATCGTTTAAATTAGATTACCTGTAAAAAAATCAAGGATTATTGACCATTGATTTGTGGTTCCCTGAATGTTGTCCCATTCAATTTCCTTCTTGAAGAACCCACAAGACTGCATTGAATGAGGGCATTCATGATAACTATTCTGTTCTTAGGAACAATTTCTGGCTAGAAATATATATTTTTATTTCTATTCTTTGGATGAGTTTCTAAGCAGAGAAATAAGTTTAATATTGACACAAAATTTCCATTTTCCGAACAAAAATTCATTTGATAACAACAAAAAATTTCTATTTTCTGGAACTTCATTTCAATGATGAAATAGCCAATTTTACCTCTAAGGGATTGAGTGAATAGATAATTTCTTGGTTATGATCCAACGAATTATACATTCAAATCTTTGCAGTTCCCACCAAACGTTAACTTTGGGAGTCACCCTCCATACTTTCATGAGTGGAAGCCTTATTATACTTGGTCTGACGCCCGTGGATGGGCACCCTTTGCGTGCATGCATAGAAATTAGGCGAGTCTAAAAGTTTAGATATCTCATGCTATGGAAGGGAAAAAAATACT